TTGGCCTGCTGTGTTCATCCAGCTCTACACTCATTTTATTGGCCCTCTTCCTTTTTCAATATGTAGACATTCTTTGTTATCTGCTTTCACAGTTCCAGCCAGCTTCCTCTCATACTCCAGTTTCATTCTCCTGAATAACCTTTCAATTATTCTCCAACATTCTTTATATTCTGATTGGTCACTCATCTTTGCACACTCACGGAGTCGTACAGCATGGAAACAGATCCTTCGGTCCAACCAGTCCGTGTCGACCATAATCCCAAACTAAACTAGTCCTGTGCTTGGCCCACATCCTTCCAAAAGTTGCACATATTCCTGAACCAATTCAAATGTTGTAACTGCACCTGCATCGACCATTTCCTCTGGCAGGTCATTCCACACACATCCTTTACAAATCCTTCTCCTCTCACCTTTCCCCCTGCTTTTGAACTCCCCCAGTCTATGGAAAAGACCCTTGTCATTCATCTCATCTGTACTCCTCATGATTTTATAAACTTTTATCATGTCACTTCTCAACCTCCCATGCTCCGGTGGGACAAAAAGTCCCAGCCTATTTTTATAACTCAAACCCTCCATTCCTAGCAACATCCTAGTAAATCTTTTCTGAACCCTCTCCAGTTTAACAATATCCTTCCTAAATCAGGGCGACCAGAACTGCACACAGAAGAGGCCTCACCAATGTCCTGTACAACCTCAACGTGTGGTCCCCCAAATCCTATACACATAAGTATGAGCAATGAAGGCAACCGTGCTAAACCTCTTCTTAACCACCTTTTCCACATGTGACACAAATATCCTTAAGTTTGACGTTTAAGTCATAGAGAGTTCTATAGCACGGAAACAGACCCTTCTGTCCAACTCGTCCATGCCAGATATCCTAAACAAATCTAGACCCATTTGCCAACATTTGGCTCATATCTCCCTAAACCTTTCATATTCATGTGTGAAGAGATGCTTTTTAAATGTTGTAATTGTACCAGCCTCCACCACTCCCTCTGGCAGCTTGTTCCATACACGCACCAACCTCTGTGTGAAAAAGTTGCCCCTTAGGTCCCTTTTAAATCTTTCCCCTTACACCTTAAACCTATGCCCTCTAGCTCTGGACTCCCCTAACCTGGGGAAAAGACCTTGTCTATTTACCCTATCCAAGCCCCTCATGATTTTATAAACCTCTATAAGGTCACCCCTCAGCCTCCGACACTGCAGGGTAAAAAGCCCCAGCCTTTTCAGCCTCTCCCTGTAGCTTAAATCTCCGACCCTGGCAACATCCTTGTAAATCTTTTCTGAACCTTCTCAATTTAACTTCCATAGAGTCTCTACAGTATGAAAGCAGGCCATTCAGCCCATCGAGTTCACACCAACCTTCCCACCCAGACTTACCCCCTACCCTAACCCTACAGGGGATGCGATGGCCTAGTGGTATTATAGCTGGGCTGTTAATCGAGGGACCCAGATAATGTTCTTGGGACCTGGGTTCAAATCCTGCCACAGCAGATAGTGGAATTTGAATTCAATAAATATCTGGAATTAAGAGTCTAATGATGACCATGAATCCCATTGCCAATTGTTGGAAAAGCCCATCTGGTTCAGTAACGTCATTTAGGGAAGGAAACTGTCATCCTTACCTCATCTGGCCGACATGTGACTCCAGACCCACAGCAATGTGGTTGACTCTTGACCGCCCTCTGGGCAATAGATGCTGCCTGGCCAGCAATGCCCTCGTCCTGTGAATGAATAAAGAAAAAATTTCCCACGGTCAATCCACCTAACCTGCACATCTTTGGACTGTGGGAGGAAACCGGAGCACCCAGAGGAAACCCACGCAGACACGGGGGGAATGTGCAAACTCCACGCAGACAGTCGTCTGAGGGTGGAATTGAACCCGGGTCCCTGGTGCTGTGAGGCAGCAGTGCTAACCACTCAGGAACCATAGTACCCAACTTCTTTAGTTAACCGCAGATGTTTAGAATTTGTCTCGGTAGCAGCAATACATATATTCTGAAACATCCCCTTTAATGTCCTGTCACTACATCACATGGGGTATTTGGTCTGACTCGGAGTAAGGTGGAGAAAGGTTTATGAAGGGAATCCCAGAGGTTAGAACCAATGATAGAATGAAGAGAGTGGAGGTTGCTTTAGCCTGATGACAGATTTCTGTATGGTATAGGCCCTAAAGGGCTTCCCCAACGAAGTTGACATTTACAGATACGGTTTAAGAGTTGGTGTGCTCCTGTCCTGCTAGTAACCGTTTACCACAGGTTTGCTCTCGTTGACGTGAGTTCTATCGAGGGGTCTTTTATCTCTGTCTCATTTTCCGTTTCTTTTACTTATTTTCTATCAACAGTGCAGCTCAAGGCCTTGGTATTGGGTGCCCAGGAGTGTGGAGTTGAGTTTGTGTATGCAATCTCCCCGGGACAGGACATCACCTTCTCGAGTTCGTGTGACCTGACCTTACTGAAGCAGAAACTGAGGCAGGTAGTGTGAATCTTGATGTGTTCAGAGAGATCAGTGAGAGTTGGGTTAATGGTAGGGCAGAGTCTAGGGCTGTTTGTGCTGGTCCTGGTCTCTTCTGGGAACCAGGTCCTCATTCCACCCAAGCTCATGAGATGCAGGTTGCCCCACTTTAGAATAAAACGAAATGCTGCTGGCCATGTCTTGCTGGTCTTTGTGCCCGAAGATGATGGGTTCAGATCCCATTCTAGAGCACATGACCTGGGTTGATGATCCAGTGCTGCTGCGCTGAATTCACCATCTTTCAGATGAGACATTAAACCAACTGGGACCCTCTCAGGTGGACGGAAGAGAGCGCACAGAGCTATTCAGAGACGAGCAGGGGTGTATTCTTGGCCAAGGATTACCTCTCAGCCAACACCAACCTGATCAGAAGATCGATGTGTGTGGGAGCTTGCTTGGGGAAAAATGGACTTCTCTGTTTCTAGCAATGACTGTGGAAAGTGCTGTGAAGCACTTTGGAAGTTTAGAGGTTGTTTATGATGCAAAAAGTAAGTTTTTTTTTTATTGAATCATAGTCCAACTGCAGTGGTTGTAGCAACCGTGTAGCAGTTATACAACAACAACTTGCATTTATGCAGCACCTTTTAATGCAGAAACGTCATTAATGATGCTGAACAGATGAACCACATTTAGGCAAAGAGGTAATTTTGAAGAATATTCTGAAAGTAAGAAAGGGAGTGGAGAGGAGGATAAGCTAACTGAGTGGAGGGGGGAGGGGCATGGGGTCAGGCCGTAAAGGGTTTTAAACACAAGAAAGGGAGCTTTTATTGTAGGGAACAAGAGCCAGTTGGTGGTGATGGAGCTTACTGCATGTTAGAATACCCAAGCAGACTTTTATGAGCTGAAACTTACCCTCTCAGTTAGGAATACAAAAGGGGAGGAAGTATTGCTTAATTTATTCAGAGCCACGGGTCAGTCCTTAGTGTTAATGGTTCAATATAGGCACATTTGCTGTTTTCCACTGTTGCTATAATTGTGAGTTTCTCACCGCTTGCCCTGCTGACCTTTCTGGTGCCCTTTGCCCTCCTGCAGGTTAAAGGGTTTGGGTGTATGGCCTTCGCCATCCTGTTTGATGACATCGACCACACCATGTGCCCCACCGACAAAGAAACCTTCAGCTCATTCGCTCATGCTCAGACGTCAGTGGCCAATGAGATCTACCGGTACCTGGGGGAGCCTCCCATCTTCTTGTTCTGTCCGACTGGTACGCATCAGGCTACCCATTCCTCTGATCCAGGCAATGGGGGGGGGGGCACTATGTCAAAGGTCTCCCAGACTCCCGTCTGGTTGATGTTGTAGATCCAACTTGCAGGGAGCATGGCTGCTTCCAAAACGCACGCGCTTAGGTTACAGGTTATAGAGTCGGATGTTGCTGGGTGTGGAGGGTATGAGCTATAGGGAGATGCTGAATAGGCTGGGGCTATTTCTCCTGGACCGTCGGAGGCTGAGGGGTGACCTTGTAGAGGTTTATAAAATCATGAAGGGGCTTGGATAGGGTGAATAGACAAAGTCTTTCTCCTAGAATGGGTGAATCCAAAACTACAGGTCAAACCTTGAATGTGAAAGGGTAAAGATTTAAAAAGGACCTAAGGGGCAACTTTTTCACACAGAGGGTGGTGCGTGTATGGGATGAGCTGCCAGAGGAAGTGGTGGAGGCTGGTACAACTACAACATTTAAAAGGCATCTGGATGGGTATATGAATAGGAAGCGTTTAGAGGGATATGGGCCAAATGCTGGTAAATGAGACTGGGTCAGATCGGGATGTCTGGTCAGTGTGGACGAGTTGGGCCAAAGGGTCTGTTTCCGTTCTTGACTCTCAGATAGGGATTCACGAATAGGGTGATTCAGAAGAAATGTCTCTACCCAGGGAGTGACGAGAATGTGTAATTCCTCAGCACAGGGAGTGGTTGAGGTGAATTGTATAGCTGTTTTTAAAAAAAGCTAGATAAGCATATGTTGACGTTAGGTTTGGGGAGTTTTGATAATAAGCTTGTTTGAAATAGATTGGGTGGAAGATTTTGTGGGCTGTAAATACCAGTATTGATCAGTTGGGCCAAATGGCCAGTTTCTGTTCTCCTTTCCCTCTTCCTATCTCTCCCCCTTCCACTTTGTCTCATCCTGTCTTTACTCACAATGGCAACAACTTGTTTGTACATAGCATCTGTCACATAGAAAACAGGAGTAGACCATTTGCCCCCTCGAGCCTGCCCTCTCGCTCAGTATGATCATAGCTGATCATCCAGTTCTGTGCCCAGTACCCATTTTTCGCTCATTAAGTTTTATCCCTTTTGCGCTAAGAACTAAATTGAACTCTTTCTTGAAAACCTTCAATGTTTGGCCTCAACCTCTTTCTGTGGCAGAGAATTCCACAGACTCACCACCCTCTGGGTGAAGACATTTCTCCTCATCTCAGTCCTAAATGCCCCAACCTGTATCCTTAAACTGTGTCCCCTGGTTCTGGACTCACTGGTTATCAGGAACGTCCTTCCTGTGTTTCCCCATGTATAGGTTTCTATGAGAACCCCAACCCATGCTTCTGAACTTCAGTGAATATAGTCCTAACCGATCCAGTCTCTCTTCATATGTCAACTTTTTTCCTTTATTCATTAACGGGATGAGGGCATCGCTGGCTAGGCAGCATTTATTACCCATCCCTAATTGCCCATAGAACAGTTAAGAGTCAACCACATTGCTGTGGGTCTGGAGCCACATGTAGGATGGCAGTTTCCTTCCCTAAAGGACATTAGTAAACCAGATGGGTTTTTCCAACAATCCATAATGGATTCACGGTCATCATTAGATTCTTAATTCCAGACTTTTTTTATTGAATTCAAATTCGACCATCTGCCATGGCAGGATTCAAACCTGGGTCCCCAGGACGTTATCTGAGTCTCTGGATTAACAGTCCAGCGATATTACCACTAGGCCATCACCTCCCCCTGTTAAAATGTTCCTAGGCACTTCGCAGGATTACTGTGGGATGGATTTTTTTACAGATATCAGGACAATGAGCTTGGTCACAGAGAATGGCAGAGTGGTTTAGGGAGCGAATACAGGAGTTTACAGTGCAGCCACGAACTGGAGAGCCATTAATGCGTGGGACATGCGAAAGACCCGGGCTTAGAGAAACTCTCTTCCGTGGGAGGATTGTTGTGTTGGAGAATGGTACACAAATTGGGTGATGGACAAACCCAAAAACTGTGCAACTCCTTTCTCCCTAAGAATTCAACATGGCTGCTCCATTCAAACCTGGGGGCCCTGTTCCAGGCACCTTCATCAGGCTTCTCAATACAATGGGATAAACAGTGGGCCTCATCAGGAGGCGTGGGCCTGACTGCAAAGGGCCATTGTGCCTCCTTTACTGGTCATATTGTGCCTTGTGTGTGTGTGTAACTGTACAACGCAGCTCCAGCTCTGAGGGTTGTTGCAGAAGTGGTTAAAGAACTGAAGTGTACCGACAAAAAGGAAAGTGATGTTGACTTTGGTTGCGTCCTAACTGGAGTAGAGCCATCGCCTTCCCCATTAGGGGAAGGAAGTTAACATCATGGTTAGTTTGTCCAACGCGCCCTCATCATCCTCCATCCCTCACACCTGACAAAGCATACAGTCTACCAGACAAAATAGGAAGACAAAAAGACTTGTGGCTGAGCCTGGAAAACTCTCAAAATCCTCCCCCATTCCTGAGATGGATCCCACCCTCCCTGTATCCCCAAACCCCAGCAACCTTCTGAGATCTCTACATGCCACCATTTCTGGCCCCTCAAGCCTCCCTGATGTAAGTGTTTGCAACTCGAGTGTCTTTGTTTCAGAGCTAATGAGCTGGAAGCCAAACTACAGGCACTGTGACACCACTATCTTAGAATAGTGGGCAGGACCCTCAACCTCAATTGTCTGTTGAGCCTGAGATTCTTTCTGCTTGTTTGGATGAGGGCTGCAGAATGGATCAACCAACTAACCATGGCACCCCAGTGCAGGAAACCATTCAACTGGAGTGGGGTGCAACCAAAAAAGGAATGGAGTGGTAGTCAGGGAGAGTGTAGTGAGGAGGGATTGACACTGTTCTCTGCAGCAAAGAGTGGGAGTGCAGACAGCTGTGTGCCCAGGGCCAGGATTTGAGCTATCTACTCAAGGCCGGAGAGGATCTTTCAGTGGGAGGAGGAGGATCCACTCGTCATGGACCAGGTAGATCCCAGCATCGTAGGCAGGACTTGAAAGGTGGTTCTGTGTGGAGAGTAGAAACATAGAAAATAGGAGTAGGCCATTCAGCTCTTCAAGCCTATACCACTACAGTAGGCATCAAACCAAGAAGCAAAACGCTAAAGGTAATAAATTCTGATTTATTACTTGAGCCACGTGCAAATTGACATAGGGTAGATCAGGTTAGAGAAATGAACAAATGGCTCAAAGACTGTACCAATGGGAAACTGAGAATAAAACATGGGGATAGTCTGCACCTGAACCAGATTGAGTCATAGAGTCAAACAGCACAGAAACAGACCCTTTGGTCCAACTTGTCCATGCCACCATGTTCCCAAACTAGTCTAGCCCCCTTCTGTCTACGTTTGGCCTGTATCCATCTAAACCTTTCTTATTCATGCACCTGTTCAAAAACCTTTGTCATTCACCTTATCTATGCCCCTCATGATTTTATAAACGTCCATAGTGTCATCACTCAACCTCCTACACTCCAGTGAAAAAGTCCCAGCCTATCCTTATAACTCAACCCTCCATTCCCAACAACATCCTGGTAAATTTTTTCTGAACCCTCTCCAAATGAATAATATCCTTCCTATAGCAGGGCAATCAGAACTGGACACAGTACTCCAAAGTGGTCTCATCAACGTCCTGTCCAACCTCAGCATGACGTCCCAACTCCTTTTACTCATTGGTCTGAGCAATGAAGGAAGTCATGTTATTTGTCTTCTTAGCCACCCTGACTACCAGTGATGCAACTTTCAAAGAACTATGTGCCTGAACGCTTTGGTCTCTCTGCCTGGCAACACTGCCAAGGGCCTCATCATTAACTGTATAAGTACAGCCTTCGTTTGTTTTACCAAAATGTAATACCTCGCATTTATCCAAATTAAACTTCATCTGCCACTCCTCTGCCCAATTGATCAAGATCCCCTTGTAATCTTAGGATAACCTTCTTCACTGTTGACTGTACCACCAATTTTGGTGTCATCCACAAATTTACTAACCTTGCCTCTTAAATCCTCATCCAAATCATTTATATTAATGACAAACAACAGTGGACCCAGCACCAAACACTGTGGCCACTGTTCTAGTGAGACGCATAACTAGAGAGGTAGAAAAGGTTCTAAACTAAATACTGGAGGCAAGAGATCAATTTGGAGATGTCCTGTGAATTAGAGATAAGGCACAGAAAAAGCTATTAATATTGGAAATGATAAACAGACTGTGACAGGAAAGGGTATTGTGAATGAATCGAAGAGCTAATCAACAGATAAGGCTGGAGGTGACAAAAATAATTAAAAACAAACTCTATATCTGAATTCATGTACCATTTGAAACAACAGATGAACTGACATCACAAATAGAAATAAGTGTGTTGAAACTTATAACAGAGACATGGCTGTAAGGTGACATATAGTGGGGTTCTGAATATTGAGAGTTATATGACCTTCTCCCCATATCATTTGGTACGTTTAGTCCTAAGAACTTTATTTATCTTCTTGAAAACATTCAATATTTTGACCTCAACGGCTTTCTGTGGTGACAATTCCACAGGTTCACCATGCTCTGGGTGAAGACATTTCTCCTAATGGCCTACACCGTATCATTAAACTGTGACCCTTGGTTCTAGACCCCCAGTCATCGAGAACATCCTTCCTGTCCAGTCCTCTTCGAATTTTATGAGTTTTTGTGAGATCCCTCTTCAATCTTCTAAACTCTAGTGAATGGAACCCTAACTGATCCAGTATCTCTTTGTATATCAGCCCTGCCAGCCTAGAAATGAGCCTGGTAAACCTTCGTTGCACTCCCTCTGAAGCCAGAACATCCTTCCTCGGATAAGGAGACCAAAACTGCACGCACTGCTCTGAGAATGATCTCATCAAGGCCCTGTACAACTGCAGCAAGACATCCCTGCTCCTGTACTCAAATCCTTTTGCTATGAAGGCCAACATACCATTTGCTTTCTTCACTACCTAGTGTAGCTGCATGCTTACTTTCAGTGACTGATGTGCAAGGACACCCAGGTCTTGTTTCACCTTCCCCTTTCCCAGATTATTGATAATTGAGATAATCTACCTCCCTATTTTGCTACCGAAGTGGATAACCTCACATTTATCCACATTATACTTCATGTGCCATGGATTTGCCTACTCACTTAACTTGTCCAAATCACGCTGAAGCATCTCTTCATCCTTTTCGTAGTTCACCCAGCTTTATGTTGTCTGCAAGCTTGGAGACCTTACATTAGGGGGAGGCAATGGTGATATTATTGCCAGACTATTAATCGTAAAACTCAGTTAATGTTCCGGGGACCTGGGTTCGAATCCTGCCACAGCAGATGGTGGATTTTCAATTTGATAAATAATCTGGAATTAGGAGTCTAATGATGACAAAAACCATTCAAGATTTTTGTTTCCTTTATTCATTCATGGGATGAGGGAGTTGCTGAAGAGGCATTTATTATCCATCCCTAATTACCCAGAGGGCATTTAAGAATGCACCACATTGTTGTGGGTCTGGAGTCACATGTAGGCCAGACCAGGTAAGGATGGCAGTTTCCTTCCCTAAAGGACATTACTGAACCAGATGGGTTTTTCCAACAATCAACAATGGGTTCACGGTCATCATTAGATTCTTAATTCCAGATATTTTATTGAATTCAAATTCCACCATCTGCCATGGCAGGATTCGAACACATGTGCCCAGAACATTATCTGGGTCTCTGGATCAACAGTCTGGTGATAATACCACTAGCCCATCGCCTCCCCTAAATCTAGTCAGAAAAACCCATCTGGTTCACTAATGTCCTTTAGGGAAGGAAACTGCCATCCTTACCTGGTCTGACCTACATGTGACTCCAGACCCACAGCAATGTGATTGACTCTTAACAGCCCTCTGGGCAATTAGGGATGGGCAATAAATGCTGGCCTAGCCAGTGATGCCCATATCGCATGAGTGAATAAAATTTAGTTCCTCGTCCTAATCATTAATAACTGATTCCTATGTACCCCAGTAATCACTGGCTGCCCCTTGGAAAATCAGCCTGTTTATTCTTGCTCTTTATTTCCTGTCTGCCAGCCAGTTCCCTATCCATGTCAGTACACCACCCCCAAACCCATGTGTTTTATGTTTTCTGTGCAGTTCATTGTGTGAGACTTTATTGCAATCCTTCAGAATGGCCAAGTAAACCACAATCACTGGCTCCCCCTTATCAACTCTACTATTTACATCCTCGAAAAATTCCGGTTGATTATTGCACACTTTCTGGTCCCAGACACTGGAACTATCTCCAACTTCCCACACAGAGCATGAGAAGCACACCACTGCTTAGAGTTCTGCTTCCAAGTCTTACCCCTTTAAAATAAATCCTTAGATAGCCCTTAAAATTAAATAACATTAATTACTCCAGGGCCCTTCTTCTCTAGACATCCGCACTATTTCCCTTACAAACTATAACCCCAAGATGAGGACTTTACAGAGTATAAAAAAAATTGTATAAATACTCACTAAATGAGGCTGCTTCCTCTCATTCATGTCACTGTTTGACACCGCTCCCAGACTGCTTCACTGTGATACTGACCCCAGGACACC